CCCCCTCGCCTGGTTTCCCCAGGTTGACGCCGGCCGCAATGTCACCACCTACGACCTACGCAGTAGATGGACACAGCCGATCCGGGGGGCACGGGGGGCACGGGGGGCCTGTCATCTCTCAGGAATTCCATTGCAAAAGGGGACTACGAGCCTACGAGCCTACGCCTGCCTGAAGCGGCAACTGGCGAGGTCGAGCAGGAAGCGGATGATCTGGGCGGCGATACTTGGCCGCAAAGTTCCGTGTGCCCAGGTGGTGGTGACGTCTCCTCGTCTCAGCGGCCTATCTCGGAGAGACGAGCGAGTAGTTGACGGTACCTACTGTACTGTACCTGCCTCCATACCTCCAGTGGAATTTCTCCATTGATTTTCCGCATTTTTCTCCTACTGAGTAGGTACTGCTGATGTCGGCAGCCCACTCTGCAGCCCCGTAATCCCTCCATGGACCCCCCTACCCATCCATTTGCCTCGCAGTCCCTCTTGTCCCATCCCTTCCGCTAGTGCCCTAGGTTTTCCCCCCTGAGCCCCCGTGTCAAGTACAAACTCAGTGATGTGAGGTCCCTGCCCAGCCTTTTCCCCGTGAAGTGCAGTGAAGAGAAGTGAAGGTATCGCAGGTACTGTACTCGGCTGACTCTGCACACCCCCGGGTATCGCCCTCACTCTCACCCCTCCTGAAATCTGAAGTGTCTGAAGCACTCTACTCTATAGAATGACGATACTTGATATCTTGTGTGAGGAGTGTCTGTGTCTCTGTCTCTGATGCATATTACCTACTTGCCTCCCCTCTCCAGGGATTTCTGACCGACAGCGACACCAGGTTCAACGGAACAGGTAAGGTACTTAGAGGGGAAGTAGCGGTTGTACCTTAACGCTCGCCCTGTTGCTGACGGTATCACCGTCTTGGGGGGGGCCGCCTCTTGAGCCTGGGGTAATGTCGTCAAAAGGTAAGATACGTTACTGGCTGGTATCATCTTGCAGGTACAGGCAGCGTAGATACATCTGGGGAGAGGTACTGCCCCTACGGGACTGGCGGCGAGGCGCTGTAATCGTCCCGATTTTTCGTAGCCCGTTTTTTTTTTCCTATTAATTTTTTTTTTCTCTCCTGCCCATTGACTTAGACTTTCTTACTCAGGGAGGTACCTCCAAGGCCCGCCCACTCCACGCTCCACCCCACATGCTCCCAGCCCATTGCCCAAGGCCCAGAAGAGAGAGAGTCAGTTGCATTTTGGCCTACCGACCCGCCCCGAGGAAAGGCCATCCTGCCCCCCAGCACACTCAGCAGCCTGTGCCCACCCCACCCACTCACCCTCACTCACCCTCACTCACCCTTCCCCCCAGAGCCCAGAGCCCAGAGCCCAGAAAGTGAGCGACTACCCGGAAGCCATTTATAACCACTCGGCTTCCTCTCCCCCTCCCCCAAAGCCGCTCTTTTTCGAAAAAGTTGTTCCCTCTTCCCCAGACCAGCTCTGCCCCCCAACCCACCCCTCAATACTAATACTACCAACCCGCCGTAGTATACCAGCAATCAACCAATATAACCACAAAACAACCACAACACTTGCAACTCGACAACAAATAAACAAACATATAACAGACTCTTGGCAGGTCTTCGGATGAGCAAAAGAAGTGTCAGGGGTTTATATCAAGAGGATCACAATCCGCATCAACTTTAGGAGCGCTGCACTTGGATTGCAGCAGCAGTCGTGGGAGAAGCCACACAGAGAATCATCGCCATTCCGGTCGGGCATATTTCCCCTCGTGGAGAAAAGGCGATCACATGCAACGAGCACAGTCGGCAGTGGATTTTTCAAATCTACTGAACCACGAAGCCCCTGCGCAAGGCACGATCACCGTCGCCGTCGCAGCCTCTGAACCGGCTCCGGCCCAAAGCCGGGATTCGTCATCCCAGACACAACAGCAGAACGTTGACGGAGACGGAGACGTCGACATGGCCACCGTCACAGTCCTCCGCCCAAGGGGTCCGCTACCCAGCGACCAGCAGCCCACCGACGCCTCGAACGAGCTGCCGCGCCCTTACAAGTGCCCGCTCTGCGACAAGGCATTCCACCGTCTCGAGCATCAGACTCGGCACATCCGCACTCACACAGGAGAGAAGCCGCATGCCTGCCAGTTCCCCGGCTGCAGCAAGAAGTTCTCCCGTTCTGACGAGCTGACCCGCCACTCGAGAATACACAACAACCCCAACTCCAGGCGAGGAAACAAGGGCCAGCAGCCGCATCCCATGCTCTCCGGTGCCATGCAGCCCGGCGACATGATGCCGCCGCCGCCGCCCGCGCCAAAGAACATTCGCTCGGCCCCCACATCGACTCTCACCTCTCCCAACGTGTCGCCGCCACACTCCTACTCCGCCTATGCCATCCCCAACGCATCAGGTCTGAGCCCTTATGGCCGCGGCCCCCAGGGCGTCGCTGGCATGGATATCTCGATGCTCGCAAAGGCTGCGAACCAGGTCGAGAGGGAAACCCTCATTCCCGCCCCTCACTCGCATAGGCATCACCCCTATTACTCTCACAGCCTCCACTCGTCTCGCGGTCACTTGCCCTCTCTCTCCGCTTACCACATGTCAAGGAGTAGCTCTCACGACGAGCATCACGACGACCACTATCACTCTTACAGGCACGCCAAGCGCTCCAGGCCCAACTCGCCCAACTCCACGGCCCCGTCCTCGCCAACCTTCTCCCACGATTCTCTGTCGCCTACTCCAGACCACACTCCTCTGGCCACTCCTGCTCATTCGCCCCGTCTCAGGCCGTCTTACACCGCAACCTACGAGCTTCCGCCTTTCAGGCAGTTGTCTCTGCAGCACACGACGCCTGCTCTCGCTCCCCTGGAGCCCCAACCTGAGACTCCTTTCCCGCCCAGCGCTCCTGCTGCCAGCGGGCCGCGAACTGGCATGTCTCTTTCTGACATCATGAGCCGCCCAGACGGTTCCCAGAGGAAACTGCCTGTTCCTCAGGTCCCCAAAGTCGCTGTCCAGGATCTTCTCGGCCCCACTGACGGTTTCAACGTTAGTGGCAGGAGCTCTTCCTCTAACAGCATTGCTGGTGGGGACCTGATGGACCGGATGTAATGCGCCGGGAAAGGCAAATGTTTTCTACGCAAATTTTATCTGACATGATCGATGACAACGACCGGAATATATAGACGGATAGACTGCGAGGCGTTCCTAGGACTACTACTACTACTACTTTATCTTTTCTCTTCGACCGCAGTCCGAACCTTCTCTTGCTTCCTGACCTTTAATGCACACCGACAAGTTTCGCAACGGCTCGGTGATCGGGATCTTCTTTGGTGGCAGGGATGGGCCTTCGGTGATAAAAACTGCGGGTTTTACGACGCATAGATTTCCACCCTCTCCTCGGCGGATTAGACTTCAATTTTGTGGGACCCTGAATTCCAATTACTAAATTTCGCACCCGCCATCTTTCAACACAACGGCACACAAGGGGAAATAAAAACGGGCGAAATTGGGAAACAGGATCTTGTTCACACAGTCAAACTTTGCCTCGTGGTGGCTTCGGTCCTGGCATGGACCTACTGGGGGATCGAGAAGGGGTTTGTTGGAGCTGCGACTCTCACAAATCCCAGGCGACACTAGGACCGTTCGGCGGGGGTGATGCACGTTTTTGCTGCGGGTGTTATTTCTTACTGCTCTTGTTTTTTACTGTGGGGCTTCTAACTGAATCAATAGACGGTGGATGGGGAATCATATCTGAGGTATAGGACTATAAGGGACCGGATCAGATTTACAAGATCCTGGGTGGCATTTGTTATCTTCTCGTTAACAATCTCAACTTCTTACAGTGTTGTGTGCGTGTCTTGTTCTCTTCTCTCTCTTTTTTTTTCCTCCGCTAGCGCGCTTGCGTTATCGACGTTTTTGCGACGGCGCTTCAAGGGGAAACCCGACTTCGGGGCTTCTTTCTCAAGAAAGCGGTATCTTGGCTCTTGTTCCTTTTTGGGTTGGGTTGGGGGGGATCGAGTAGACATACCATACCACACCAAGACCTCACCACTGAGATAGAGTGTGAGGCAGGCAGACAATCAAACACACTCTTCATCCATCCAAAAAAAGATAAAACTTTAACCCGCTTGATACGCAAACAGAAGCATACCTAACCACCATAGCAATGTGACCCTCCTTAGTGGTGACTTCTGGGTGTGAAGAGCAGGTCACTCTGCAACCCCACGTGTGCCCCCCTTTGGGGTGATGAGATGAGTCTACTACGACCTACCTAGGTCAACTTAGCGAGCGAAGCAAGCACCAACAACCCACGCCCACGCAACCCGGATTTCCAAAGGGGTGCCAAACACACCCTGCAGTTGACCAGCGATGTTGCTTATTCAAGGGTCCTCCGAGGTCTCATCATCTGTCTAGATTGCACTTACGGAGGGGACACGTGCGGACACTCTCTCTTTGGACGATGTCAAGGTCGCGCGCAGAAAGATGGGGGTGGGGGGGTCTCTGTAACACAGGCATATTCCCTCTCAGGAGCACATTGCCGCTGCAGAGAGAAGAGAGAGAGAAATGTAACTTCGAGCTGACCGACTGTTTGTTGGCTCGTTCATCAGGCCTTGACTCCTGACCAACTAACCAACTAACTAAATGCCCTGGCTATCGTCTTGTCATCCGCGGCAATAACCACAGGAAGCGAAGCCAGCCTCGGAGGTCCCCGGGTAGTAGTAGTAGTAGTTGGCCACAGTATTACCGTATTCTCCGCCCCATTCCCACCGCATCGAGCGAGGATGGAAACGTGTCATGCAATTATTCTACAACATTCACCGAAGGGGGGAAAATACAAACAGACATGTGTGTGGACGGATAAGTTGTAAAGGTTTACAAATGGAATTTACCTGATTTTTACTTCCCCCTCCAGTTAGCTCTTGACTTTCTTTTGAGCGGTCAGTCCAGTTAGTCAGTCAGTCAGTCAGTCAGTCAGTCAGTCAGTCAGTCAGTCAGACAGACAGACAGACAGACAGACAGACAGACAGACAGACACGCGCGTTGTGCCTGCTCAGCCTCTCTGGGCTCTTCGTCTATACCGCCGGCTTTGCCTCTTCAGCCAGCGAGCGGCTGGCGGATAGGCGGCCTGGCGCCCAGCTGGGCAAGGAAAGGCAAGGAAAGAAGCAGCAAGGAGCCAGTGAGCGGCCTTGGTTGGTGCATGACTGACTGACTGAAGCTGAGATGGAATTTCCAGCTGAATACGTTTTTTTTTTCTCTGTGCAGTGCAGTGCAGTCGTGTACGAGGGTACATACAGACCGTGTAAGGCAAGTCCAGCCCATCACGTCAGCGAACCCCAGGATTGTGCTGTTTGCCGCCCCGAAGCAGGTTTGTGGGGGAGAAGCGCTTTTGCCGGGGAAAGGCAAAAGCAGAGCCGTCAGTCTGTCTGTCAGTCTGTCTCCTGGTAAGGTGCCTGGCCGTCCCTCCCTCCCCCAGGCTCCGACTCCCCAGCACAGCCGAGAAAACCTTATGATCCTAATGTTACCTTATCCCATCGTCAAGTTACATCTGTTGGTTTGTATTTTATGTATGTACCTTATGGTGCAGTGGCACAGCTTCGTGTTAGTTGGTCTTATTTCACTTAGGTCCACCACATCTTACTGATTCATCTTCCTTTTCCCAACGCGGGGGAGGATTTTCAGCCCCCGTCTCCATCTCATCCCATCATCTTGCCTTCCGTCCATTCGTTGGAGTTGTGGTTTTCAGGTCAGGACCAGACCGCTTGGCCGCCTGGGGCCGCCCGTATTCCCCGGCTCCCGATAACCACCAGAATGAAAGTGACTGGCTGAGCTCCCGTCATCAAATGTCCCTGCGAGCGCGTATCGCAGCTCCGAGAGGCTAGTGGCTATAGAGACGGAACGCCCGCTGAGACCTGGGTACGTGGTCGGCAAAGCAATGCGCCAAGTGAAGCCAACTCCCGTGTGTATTGGACGATATATGTCCGCTCCCTTTTCTTTTCAGGAGGTCTGCGTTTACGAGGTGAGGCATGCCTGCTGCATATCATGTTCAAGAAGATAGATATGAGAGATGATAAACAGATCTTCACCCGCCGCCTCAAAAAAGCCTCCAGACAATGTATCTTTGCGCCCCCCGCGAATGGGCGGCAGGCGCCACCATCCTTCCCATCGTCAAAGGCGCTACGCTCATGGGGCCAGGTGTTCACCGAGAGACGTGGTGCAACACAACGCAATCCAAGTCGGCACCTCCTTGGTCTTTCGTCCCAGCCCTGCGAAGATAGGGGGGGAGGTGACGAGGGAGGGTAGGGTCCGCCTGGGGAAAGTCATGTAAACGTGCCATGGTACAGTAAGCCTATGAGAACGAGATAACTACTATTTCCGGTACCGTTGCTCTTAGAACCTTGAGATTATTTTGATCCCCTTCCGCAGTTCCCGTCGATGAAATTCCTCTGGGCGCGCAACGGCCCCAGTCACCGTCATCCGTTGACTCAGCGTGCGGCCTCGTCGCGCGTGTCCCCGGGTACCGGAGCAATAGGTAGAGGAGAAAAACTTACGACTGCTGCGCAGTAGGCTGGCGGGTGTGGTGCGAAGGGACACCACACAACACACGATAAATCACTTCACCCCCGCGCAAACCAAGCACCCCGTGGGAACGGCCATGGTTGGACAGAGCGCCATGCCCTTCACCGCAACTTCCGGGGGAGAGCAAAGAAAATGAAGGTTGCCTGTGTTGCTCGAAGTGTGTGGGTGGGAGCAAAATGCGCGGGTGTGTGTGCCTAGAGATGCAAGTCCAGATAGACGGGATCTGGGAGTAAACGGCAGACAAATATGAGGCCATATTAGGCTTAGCTCTGGGCGCACCACCAGTGATCGAGAAAATGGCGAGTATAGATAGACATGGCTACTTGGAAGGCGGTGATGCAATCCAAAAAGTATATGCTCTGATCATCACGATCCCCAGGATGGATCGTCCCCCCAAGCGCGGGGACGGGTTAGTTACGTGGGGTCGAAGATGCCAAAGCCTCATTAGCCCGTCTAGTCTGAAAGGCTGTTTGTCTTGACTATCTGTCGAATGTTATTCCTTCTTCACGCCGGCTCCGACGTCCCTCTCCCCCGGTTTGACGTTATCGAAACGTTTCTTTTTGGTCTTCGTTGAAATTGCAGATGGTGTTGAACAGATAGACAGGCTCAGGCAAGCGGTCAATCATGGGCATGGGACGCCTCTTTCTCAGCTGCCACACTCACTTATGCATCACATACGCACGTCTGTTCCGAAGCAAACCGTTTCATTGCTTCTTTTTTGGGTTGTTTTTTTTGTCTTTTTTTTTTTTTGCGCTCGCGTACTTCTGTCAATGGGCTTTTGCGCAATGTCTATGAAATTTTTCTGTCTCGCGGCAGCGACAGCCTCTTCCTGCATTGCGAGACAACGGATTATTTGCCTGGATGAGGACAGCTAATGAAACAACATTCATGCTGGGCGCAAGCGACGCCTACTGTCTGTCTTGTTCGAGTCAGTCATGGCATGGCGCCGAGATCAAGATTTCCAGTAGCGATCAGGGACGGCCCCTCCAAGAAGTCACGGATTCTAATGTAAGCCTACACATCCCTGCCTGGGGGCTTGTTGTTTCCCCGGAGTCTCTCCAGGTGTGTCTGCCTCCCCGGCCTCCTTGGCCTCCTCCTCCTCCTTCTTCTTCCCATGGACGAACTTCGGAATTCTTGGTGGGACTGGACGACCCGGCCCCTGAAAAGGGGGGGCCGTGATGTCAGACAGCGTTGAGACACTCCGTAGCAGGAAGATGGAGGTTTGGCTTGTGATAGGAACCGCTGGGCCCAATGGGATGCGATCCTTGGCGTTTCTCGAATGTGGGGGGCAGCCCTGGGAGGGCCCGGCTCTGAAGATCGGTACTATGTCAATCTGAGCGCCATTGCAGCAGGGCGGATGTACAGTACATCGTGGACGAAGGTACGTACGTGTACGTGTCATTCTTCCTGCCTACCTACCTGGCCAGCATTGTAGTAGGAAAAGGGGGTTGCTTTGTTTATTATGCAGGCTGGCGTCTCCCCAAACCAGAGTGATACGGAAGGAGACTTATTAGCCAGCGTGATGGATGTAT